GGCGGCAGATAGAGTTGGAGACATCCGCCGCTGACCGCCTCTCCTGCAGCCGACAGCACCCTTTCAGGCGGGATAACCTGCAAGACGGCCAGCTGGTGTGGATCGCCCAGACAGACACACCGTTCAACGACAAGGGGAAAGCCTCCCGCCTCGCCCGCGGCGAGAAGCACCCGTTTTCGCCACAGGAGGCAAAACTCTTCAACCACACGCCCTACGAACACGGCTTCCGCGAGTACGTGTACGAGGGGCAGCTGCGGCGCCTGAGGGAGACGGATGACCTGACGGACCCCCGTGGTGCGATGCGGCAGGGAAGCGGCACAATCTTCTACCCCAGCGGCACGTTGTACGAAGGCAAGTGGCACAACAACAGGCGCGAGGGTATTGGCTGCCTCTCCAGCCCCAAGGGGTACCAATACTCGGGGGAGTGGCGTGACGATGTGCCTCACGGGGAGGGTTACGAGGTGTTCGCATGCCGAGTGGCGATCGACGCGCGCTACGAGAACGGAGTCCCGGAGGGAATGGGCGCCATGCTGTATAATCCAAAGCTGAACGCATACCGTTACGAGGGTGATTGGCATAATGGCCGACGACACGGAAAGGGAGTCATATTCTACGCCAATGGAGATACATTTGCTTGTATATTTAATCATGGAAAGCGCCATGGACGTGGTGTGACGACACAGGCTGTTAATGGGCGAGTGATTCAGTACGAAACTGAGTGGCGTGATGACAAATTAATCAGTACCCCAAAGTTGATTTCAAAGGCACTTCATACAAGTAAGCCCGTGTCATTCATTCCATATAGGACAAAAGGATATTTGACTGCCACTGACATCACAAAATGGGCGGTGAAGGATGAGGCACTTGACCTTACTTACGATCATTTTATGCAGCTAAAGCTTGGCTTTGAATCATTGGATGTGGTGGGGTGCGGCTTTCTTCCACTAAATGAATTGCATGCGGTATGGCCAGAGAGTAATATGGATATGTTACAGAAGTTGGAGGCAGACGGTAAAGATAGCGTTCAGTTACTCGACATCTTTGCTGGATGGTATCCCAACATGTCGGGACATGACATTGCACGTTTCATGCAAGAGTTTATCTCCCCCACTGAATTGCTGCGGCTTAGGGGATGCCTGAATGGCGTAGAGGATGCTGACGGCATTGGGTACTACCATGTCGTTGGCGATACTTCCCCGTTGAGCAAAGACGGGGATCAGCGGCCACCACTGCACCTGCGGGAACTTGAGGTGAACCAGCACCGCATCGGCGGGGAGAAGTTCACGGCGGCAAACTACGCAGCGGCATGCCAGCTGCACGACCCCCCACACTTCCTTGATGTGCTGGAGGTGTGGTACCCAAATATACTGCGCGTCACTCTGGAGCAGTATGAAATAGAAGAGATTGGTACAGACATTATTGACGCGATACGAGTAGACTTCAACCGTTATACACATGAAAGCGATAGTCGTGGTGCCTATCTTTTGATTGACGAGTTTGTTCAAGCAGAGGCCAGATATCGGGAGCGCCTACTTGCAGCACATCATAGCGTTCCAAAGAGTACGACAGCTGTACAGCTGATTTCCCCCACTCTCTCGACTCCAAGGCAACTTCCTGTTGGTCTGCCCATCGAGAATGCCGTCGAGGCTGACATGCGGCGAGGTTTTCTGAAAGGTACTGTTATGTGGGTTCTTGGCAATCGCATACGCATCAGCATACCTCTTCTTGTTGAGATTGAGAATTTTTACGTGAGCCGTGCAGGTCAAATCAGGCTTGACGAGCTGCTTCGCTTCTGTTTCCCCAACGTTGCTTGTCTGCGAACGCAAGAAGCCCTCCTTGGGCAGTTCAGCCAGACACCTTGCCTGTGCAGCTTGTGCAAGACCGTCTTGGAGATGTGAGAACAGCATACACACACAAAAAAAAAAAGAGATCACTACTTATCGTTATCGATGTGAGCTGTCTGATAGTTTTTGTTTTGTTGTCACCCTCGTTGTTCGTTTCTGTGCGCAGATACTGAAGATGATTTTTTTAATTCTTATTTTCTTTTTTTTGTTCTTGTGGGGGGGGGCGCCCTTCTTCATTATCTCTTTTTTTTCCGGCTTTCTGCATTGGGGCTTCAAGGCACTGAGTTCAAGGTGTGGGGGGGGGATCTATGAAGCCGATAGAAATTCCTGTCTTCTTCACTGACGCTGGGCCACCTCCAAGCTTTGAGTACTTATTCGTTTGGACCCTTCTCTTGGCGGTGTCGTTTGCCATATTCGGTGTGGCACGGTCTGCTGTGCGCGTCGCAGAATCATTGCCTGCTGTAATAAAGGAAACGGGACAGTCGATGCAGTGGTGGGTCCGACAACTTCACCTCTGTATGGTCTCGTGGCTGCTATTCTATGTGGTGCACCGACTATTTGCCTACGTTCTCCTCCCGTCCCAGGTGCTTGGACGACTGCACATGTTGCCGCTTTCCGATGGCGTATTTGGGAGGTGGGTGGGTGTCCTCCGCCCCGCCATCTTCTGCGGGGAGTCTGACAGAAGTGACGATGGCAGCTGCGCGGATGGAGAGTTACCGCTTGGTGTAGTGGCATCGGATACCACAACTGGAAAATGGGCAGGCTCTATGAGAAACGAAGAATGGAGGCAGTGCCAATATGTAGCGCTTGCAGCGTTTGTGACGACGATGTGCATTGTGTTGTCGGTTTGCAATGCTTTCTCATGCTTCCTGTTGCAAGTATGCAACGACGAATCAGATGGTACTGAGGATGATACCACCAGCGAAGAGGTCATATCTTCGGGAAGTGACGAGGAATTGTGGTGGGACATGGGGGAGCCAGATGATGCATGTCTCACCAGCCCAGAGGCGGAGTCGGCGGAGGAGCGGTGGAGGGAAATGGCGGTGGAGGAGAGAAGCGCCCAGCGCTGTCAAAACAAACAGAGCGGCATGGGAGATCTTCTGCAGACGTGCTGGCCTGTTCTTCTTGCGGTGAGTTACGCCGGTCTCTACGCCCACACGGGCAGCATGCCGCTTCTGATGCGGTGGGTTTACCCTTCCTGTGTAATGATGGTGACGCTCTTTGCTATGACTGTGTGAGCAACTCTCTTTCCCCCAACGATCCTTCTCCTTCGTGAGAGAGAAAAAGAGCGTGTGGGTCTATTTGGACTTTTTTCTCCTTTTGGATTGTCCCACCTTGCCTCATCTTACTGACAAGAAAAAAAAGGTGAGTACTTGTGTGCCTTACGTTACAGCGCTCTTTTAGTTGCTGTTGATATTGTTTGCTTGTTTTTCTGCTCCTTTGAGTGGGTTTTGCGATTAGAAAGCTGTACGTGCGTGTGGGTGTGGGGAGAGAAAGAGAGAGAGATACTCCAGAAGGTGTAAGGCGGAGGAGATTGGCGCTGTGTCTGTGGGTGACTGCGTTCTTCCACCACATACATGATGCTGGACGGCACTGGCCGGACAATGGCGCAGGGGGATTCTCTGTACGAGTCTCGCCCTACGGATGCGACTGGGTACAACTGCAACCAGCGTGTATGGCTCTTTCTCTGCCAGACTGCCACCTTCATCTGGAAAGAGTACCTTGATCGCGTGCGGCATCCTCGCAGAGCTGTAGCAGAGCTCTTGGCACCTGCACTGGTGGTGGCTATGCTGCTGTACGCTGTGAACTTGAGCCCGGTTGTTTGGGTCGAGCCTTTTCAATACACCAGTCTTCCGACAGCAACATTTTCTGCGGGCATTCCGAATGAAAGCGCCATTGCGCCTACGTGGAGGAGTAACTTTGAGTCGGTGGGAAAGTGGCGCGATGTCTTTGAGGAGCTGAACATGACCTCGTTTTTCTTCGATTATGCCCTCTCAGTGGCAAGTATGCGCAACGTTACATCCTTTCATACTTCCACTAGCCGTTCCAACGACGCGTGGTCAGATTCGTGGTCAGAGGATGATGTGGTGCGCACGCTCCTGACCAACCGTTACGCTGCCGCGCCCTTCAAGGTGCCTACGCTGGATGGGTACGCCGCGATGCTTGCGGCTGCGCAGGTGGCGATTGGGGAACGGGGGATGAAGCGCGCGATGCGCAGCGATGCACTCATCCGCTTCATTCTCCGCTTTGGGAAGTTGGCGTTCGCCGTGGGTGGGGGCGGCGGTGACGATCTTGCCCGCGCCGCGGAGAAGATTGTCGAGTACCTTAATGCGACGACCAAGTCGTTCAATTCCATGGTGCTATGCAAGTCAAGCATTCTCGCAAGAAATGAGGACGGTTGCGTCTTTGATAGTGTGGAAAAGGCGTCACCACTTTTGGCAGACTACATGCAACAACAACAGCTGCAGGGGCAACGGGAAGAGTTGGTGTGGGCAATTGTGCGTGTGGATCGCGTTACTCTGCAGCCGCCCGACTTCCGCTACGTCATTCTTGTCAATCAGGCGATGCTACCCACATGGACAACGATTGAAACGTTCCCACAAGGCCTGGGCAAGGAGTACGCTATGTACGTTTACAACGGCTTCTTGACACTACAGTATGAGTTGAACGCTTATTTTATCTCTCTAGCGGGACTCCCACGACGGCGCATGAATCTTTCGCTGACGCCTCTCATGGATTTTGTCTGTGATGCTGTGGAAACGCCACACAACGCGACGAGAGGATTGTTTGAAGAGCCGGAGAGTTCAGAGCAGCGTGACATTGTCGAGAATGCAACCACGCAGGATCCAATCGTAACCACCACGGCAGAGCCGTTTACAGCAGTGAGCGCAATCTATGCCCCATGCTTGTATGAGGTGGGGGCGTACTGTGGCGCCTCCAACGACACAAAGTCCATCTTAGAATGCTTGACAAGGGCGGAGAATGAGACGGTTGTGTCTGGCATGTGTCAATATGCATTGGAGTTTATCCAGGAATGTGTTCCCAACGATAATGAGTGCGGATCCAACAATGCGTATGAACTCCTCACCCAGGTGCCCTCGGCGCTCCCGGACTGTGCAGAATCTCGCACCGCCTCCTGCGGCGCGAAGGAATTTCTACGCCAAGTTGAAAAAACCAAGACGATGATGGGGTGCACTGTTGATTTGCCTAAGCAATTTCGCTCGAGCAATATGCCTAGGGATGCGTTTTATACAAACTTCAATCTCCCGAGAGAAAAAGAGACTGCAGCAGGGGACGTTTCTGACGATTGTCGTACACTATCAGATACCGTGAGGCACTGTTCAGATGAGTTCCTCTCTATTTGTCCCATAAAGTGGATTGGTGGGAAGGGAATTATCCCATACGCGTGTCTTTACGTCAATCAACGGTTTCTCAGTACAAGTTGTAAAACCACAAGTTTCGTTAAGAATGTATTGCCGTTTTTGTACAGTAACAAGGCTTTGCGAGAAACTGTCCCAGCAGCCACTTATTACTGCCGTGAGGTACATGATATTCACAAAACGTTGGTGGATAGCATTGTCATGCAGGCGTTTCCTACAGATGGGTACACCCAACGGATGTTCTTTTTAACAGGCAGCCCATTTGTGGGTTTGATGGTCTCCATTGCGTATTACTTTCCATTTGCAGTGGCTGTACATTCCTTTGCGAAGGAGCGTGATGCGTGGCAGCACAGATACCTCATTCTTATCGGGGCCAATCCGATAGCAATGCTACTGAGTAAGTTTTTGGTGTCCTTTATCACCTCTACTATTACATCTCTGATGGTGACGTTCGTAATGATGTTTTGCGTCGACATACCGAGTTCGGCAGTCTACAGTTTGCTCTACATGTACTACCTCAGCCTTAGTGCCTTGGCTGCAGTGGTCGGGATTCTGGTCCCTTGGGAACGAGTGGCCATAATTGTGACGCCGTTTGTTCTCTTCCTGTTCGTAACTCCCGCTCTTGTTGGAGAACAACTGACTCAGCTCAGTGGTGTATCGACGCTCCTTCCCCCTACTGTACTTGCCAAGGCCATCAACGAGTACACCAGGGCGGCTCAGGCTGGCTATTTAGAGGTTATGTGGCCACACTCCTCCCAGAAGGCCTTGTGGATACTTTTTGGTCTCTTTCTCCTTTATGGGTTGATTGCTATTGTGTTGGAATACCTCTTTCTCCCCAACTCGGCACTTGAGCGAGTATTTCGGCGCTTCACAACATCGTTGGTGACATCGGTAGACCGATTACTTCGAAGTGGAAATCGCCAGATGACGAAATTTTACGAGGGGGAGGAAATGACTACCAACCACACAGTAGCGCCTCCAAGACAGGAGGGAGACATACAGTTAAATCAAGAGGCCTCAAATCTGGAGTTTAACATTGGCGGTGTTAGTAGTAAAGACACTGAAGCAACACGACGGCAACACACTGGTGAAACAGGTTTCTTATTGGGAGGGATTCTTCGTGAGGACCTCCCGTCCGTGCCTGGTGAAATTCCACCTTCACTTATGTCTTCAACCGCCCAAGGATACCAATCGCGGTCCTACAACGAAGGTGTTCTGCCGGTGCCAAGCAATTGGCATCCAGGCATAACAGTTCGTGACCTGTCCTACACTGCATTGGGTCAGTGTCAGAGTCTGCAGGTGCCTTCGGCCGATTTCTACCAAAACAGGCTTAACTGTGTTGTTGGTGGAGACGCCTCGGGGTGGAGCCTTCTGTTGAATGTGCTGATGGGTTGGTCCGAACCCCCTCAAGGCGATGTGCGAGTGGACGGGAGAAGTATCCGCATGGATGGCCGCGGGGAAATTGGTGTCTGTCTTGAGCGAAATGTGTTTTGGGACAAAATGACTGTAAGAGAGAATATTCGCCTCATTCAACTACTCAAGGGACGTCTTTCCAGTCTAACCGAATTAAAGGACGAAGAGAACGTGCTTCTCACTGCCCTTCAGCTGGAATCAGTGCGTCATGAACGGCCTGGGCGCTTGTCAGCTGGGGTGGCGCGCAAGCTTGCAATCGCCATGGCCTTGGCCGGTGGATCGCGCACACTCTTCTTTAATGAACCCACCGCCCATACCGACCTTTCCTCACGCTCTGAGATATGGCATCTACTCTCCCAGAACACAAGGGGACGTTGCATTGTTGTTTCGACCAGTGATGTGGACGAAGTGGATGCCTTTGCGGACCACGTGACCGTTCTCTTTGGTGGTAGGGTGAGTATTGCTGGTACACCTGAGTATATCAGGTGGAAACTGAGTGGTGGATGGGTGGTGACTGTGTGCTGCGCTGTGAACACACACGCGACGACTGTATTGGATCTCGTAATGTCTGCAGTCCCAGATGCAATACTGGTAAACAACGTGGGGCATGAAATCTCCTTTCGGTTGACAGAAAATGTGGAGGAGTCTGCTTTGCCAACGCTTCTCCGAGAGCTCCAACGAGCGAAGGACTCGGCGCTTGTTACAAACATCAGCGTGTCGGATTCTCGCTTCAGCGAGGGTTATGTTCGTCTTACACGTGAGTTGGGTCGTCACCAGCCAGTGAGGACTGACGAAGAGGAAACTACGAGAAATGTGGCCGGTGACAACTACGTCATGATGCCACCACCACCATCACCGTCCACGCACAACAACTTGGATGAGCAGGAGGATGGTGGTGTTCCTTTGGATATAAGCGAGGAGCGTGAATCACGTCAGTGGTTGATGTTTCTCGGCACGTGCAGGGCAGTGTTGAACCACCGCTTGTTTGAAGCCCTGCTTACTCCTTTTCACTGTATGTTGGTTACACTTCTGCCACTTGTGATGATTTTATACGCGACAGCAACCTTGGGGAGAGATTTTGGCACGGCAAAGTTCAGTGAAACCTCTGTGTTCGGGTGGCAGCTGTCCTCCATCCCGAGCAGCACCTATTACAGTGACTTTGGCGGGGCGGCGTCGCCCTACCGATTTCTTTCGGAGCAGCTTCAAGGGAAACATATGTCTGGGACAGTTTCCTCTTTCTCCACGGTTGATAAAGAGGAAGTGGCCTCGATGCAGAGTAACAGTGCGGGCTTGGATAGCTTCTTGAGGAATACCTCCGTACCCAAGGATAAGTTTCTCTTTGGTGCCTTTGCGATGCAAGGGGCGGTGGTGAAGGCACCAAAGGACATTGTGCCCCCTGCAGTATTCCCATGGCAAACCGATGTGGTGCTCTGTAACACCTCGTTCCCACTGAGTGTACCCGCGTATTTGCAAATGTTGGGGATGATGCGACTTTGGATGGCACGCAATGATACGGAGGGGGCCATTAGCGCCTTCATTGGTACGTTAAAGGAAGCAGGCGACACATCGGAAGGGGGTCTTGCGCCGCCGACGACATCTGCTGAGGTAATGAGTACGCTGTTGCTCTTACTGCCATTTGCGTTTTATGGTACTCGAATGGTGGCAGACCTCGTTCAACAACGGCGTAGTGGGCTTTTGCAAGTTTTTTACAGTTCCTCACTTCGGCCGTTAGCATTCTGGTTAGCTAATTTCACGTACGACTTCCTTAGTTTTTTTACTCTGGCTTTCGTTGGTGTGGTTATATTCAGTTTCAGCAGCATATCGCGTGATGTCACTGTGGGTGATTTCTTTGCGCTGTTGGGTATCTTGATTATTTTCGGTTGTGGCACCATATCGCTCTCTTACCTTATCAGCAAATGCTTTGACGACCACACCGCTGCCCAAGCAGTTGCAACGGCTGTTGGCATTTGTACGGGATTCGCCTTCCAGATAGTTTCGTCAGCAGTACGCTTCCTCCCTGACAACCCGATGGCAGTGCAGGCTAGAGAGAAAAATGAAGTTAATTCAATATGGATGCGGTTTTTCCCTCTCTTCAACCTGGGCGAGGCCTTCATGACGTACTCCATGGCCTCCATTCCGTTTTCTGGCATCGATGTGGCGGTTTATCTGCAGCCGTTAGCTCTCCTACCCCTTCTCTTTGTCACACTGGTGGCGTACGAAACCGTGGCGGAAGTGAATGCACGTACTCTCATACGAGATAAGGTTTGGCGCTTCTTTGAAAAGCTGAATGTGAAGATTGTCGTGCGGCTGCACCGGCTGTGTGGCAATTACGCGCCAATAGAGGACGGTGATTTGTTGTATCGCTGGGAGGACCCCTCCTGTCTTCTTACGAATGAAGATGCATCTGTGGGGGAAGAACGAAATAAAGAATATACTGCGGATGGATTGCGGGTTGAGGCGTTGTGGAAACGCCAACATAACGTTTACGCCTTGCAGAATGTGACGATGAATGTGGAGGGTGAAACTCTCATTGTGGTTGGCGTCAATGGCAGTGGCAAGACTACTCTTTTGCGGTGTGTCGCGGGAGAGATTCTCCCCTCACACGGTAGTGTCTTTGTGAATGGTGTGTCCTCCACAAGGCGGAATATGTCCAAGCTGAAGGCGCAAAGCTTTGTAGGGTACGCTTCAGAAACCTTGGTCCTGCAGCACAGCACCATAACACCGTACCTCTTCCTTAATATCATGGCGGACCTCCGCTTGCTACGTCGCGGTACGGGTCGAAAGCATCACCTTCGCTTTCTGATGCGTACACTGGGTATTGAACCTTACATGCATGTGGGGATGTGGGTGCTTTCGTCTTCTTTGCACCGACGCGTAACTCTCGCAGCGGCTCTTGTTGGCTATCCATCTGTATTGATCCTCGACGATGTGACCAGTTCGCTCGATCCAGTGGCAAGGCGTCAGGTGTGGGCTGCACTCCGTTCTGTGCCACAAGGCACCAGTACCGTGCTGTCGACACGACACCCTGACGATGTGGAGATGGTCGGTGACCGCGTGCTGCTGCTTGACGAGGGTAATATGCGGTACATTGGCACTCCGGTGGCGTGGAGAGGCAAATATAGAAAAGGACTCTCTGTTTCTATTGATGTTTCTCGCCCACACGAGGTTTGGATAAGTGGCCGACCTTACAACGCTGCGGAGCAGGAGGCGTTGTGCAACTTCTTCGCTGCCCATTGGCGTGGTAGTACGCTCATCGAGTCCCGGCCTTTTCACTATGTCTTCCATATCCCTCTCGGGGCAAATCAGGATGACATGAAAGTGGGATCAGAGGTGATTTCTATTTACACCGTTCTGGCGACACTTATTAAGGGAAGGGATGAAGGTTGGACAGTGTCTGACGCCGTTGAGGGAGATGTGGGCGGCAGCAGGAGACATTGCCGATGCTCCATCACTGTTTCCGAGACGACGATTGAGCACACAGTCAGAGCTGCATTGAGCCAAAGTATTGCCTTCACGAGTGCTGTACCAAACTTGTTTGACCGCAATGTTTACATACCACCGAAGGATTACCGTGTGGTTCTGTAAACGTGTGGACGTTGGAAGAAAAGAAGAAATTGACATGACTGCTCTGACACGTGTCGAGACACCAAAAGAACATGAATGATATACATATATATATATATATATATATATGTGTACGCACATGCACCTTTTCTACAGTGAGAACTTGTTATTGTTCTTTTATCTGCGCTCTCTCTCCCTTTCTCTCCTTATTTTATCAGGTGGCGTTTTGTGTATTTGGCGTTGTGTGTTTGTGTGTTTTGGTCTTCAAGACTTCTGCAATAATGCAGGCATCAGGCTCTGCGAAAAAAAAAGACGTTGTGTGGAAAACAGGAACCTTTCCCCCTTGTAGTAAGGAAGATGTGGAGATGCAAAAAGTGGTGGATATTATGAAGAGCGGTAATAAGCATAGTTTTCTGGGGTGGTTGGATTCATGTGATGATATTGATATGAAGGACTCAGGGGGCAATACGGCGTTGCATTGGGCCTCCACCCTGGGAAATCTCGGTGCGGTGACGCATCTTCTTTTCGCGGGGGCAGATATTGACATGAAAAACAATAATGGAGCGACACCGTTGCACTGCGCCGCCACGGATGGCCACGCAGCCATCATTGAACAGCTCTTGCGGCACGGCGCAGATGCCACAATAAGGAACCATGACAAGCAAACTATGTTTGACGTTCTACGGCATATGGGGTGGTCGCGCGTCTCTATTGCATACAGGCAGTTGGAAAAGGCCCTCATTGCCACGACAGACACCCCGCACCAGCAGTGGGATGTTGCGTTCACAAAAAGGGCGGCCTTAGGATCTTCTACCCCTTCTGTGCCAAGGACTTCTCTCTCTGTGTCACGTGGCTCAGTCTTGGAAGGCCATCATGTGCATTATTCGAACGTTGCTCACCACACACCGGTGCGTGCGGTAAGCATAGACTGCCCTGACGGATGGGCTTCTAGGATGTGTGCTATGGAAGTTGAACTGCTGTGCGCCACCGAGGAGGTGGAGCGCAATACCGTGACCAACTCATATCTGGAATGGGTGCTGCGCCTCCAAAGTATGATTAAAGCTGCATCAGTTAGGCTGGTACGCAATGTGCCGAGGGATGTGGCGGTTGTGCTTGGCGAGAAGCACTCGCCGGAGGGTACACGCCAGTTGCTGGTGCGCCTCGCGGGGGATCCGGTGGGCGCGGAGGTGTGGGTTGAAGTCACCCAAGTGGCGCACTGCAAAGCAGTGATTGACTACATGGACCTTTTTGACCGCACCTACACCACACTGGGCTCCTCAACGTGTAACACAGACACAAACTTTTCCCCTATACGTGTTCCATTAGGTACTGTTGAGCAGAAGGAGACTTTCCAGCAGCTGAAAATGGTATCGCACCGATCGTCGCTGTTCATGCACAACAATCAAGCGTTGGCTTCATCATACTCAAACTCTGCTCCGCTACCCCCACTGCGTGCGTGCTCCATTGTGGATCGGGTCCCTGGCCGCACTGCGGCGGAGATCCTGATACCGGAGAAACAGGAGCCGGAGCCAGCTCATGTGGTTTGGCAGTCTGAGTTGCATGATTCGCATGATGAACCCCCGAAGGAGAGCAACTTGTTATCAACATTGATGTACGCTAGCCACATGGCCCCGATGTACGTTAAATGTGACAGCAGTAATAAAGACAGAGAAATAGGAAGCGAAAATCTCCCCCCTCTCAATCTTAAGAGCTCCGTGAGAGAGAGAAATACTGGTGCGTGGAAGGCTCCCGCTCGAGACGATATGAAGAGCAATACGAAACCACAGCCTTCTTTGAAGTGGGAACTCTCCGCGGAAGAGTCAAAGAAGTATGATAAGTTTCTTCGGGGATCTGCTTTAGAGTACTTAAAGCGTAAGGAACGTTTTCCGGAAATAAAGTGATGCTTCTCTATGGCATATCCTTTTTCTCCATTTATCCTCTACTTGCTGTTACCATTCCTCTTTTCTTGTAATTTTTATTCCATTTTGACCACCGTTCTCCCCCCTACCCCTACTGCGAATTACTGCGAATCCCAAGCAGGTGTACAAGCTGAAACACAGAGGGTGAGAGCTTTGCATCATTATTTCGATTGTTTGTATCTATATATAGATATATACATCTTGCGCCTGGTGCCGCGGTAAATAATGTGGCGTGTCGCATCCTCTTATTTATCCTCCTTCGCTCTTTTTTGTCATGTCTTGCTACCCTTCTCTCGAGTAGGGGATCGAAAAAAGGTGAGGGCAAGAATATTACTCTCTCCAGCCAAACTGGCAACACTTGCGCTGCTGCATGGAGTGTAGTCGGTCTCACTCTTGTTCTCGCGCCGTGGTGTTGGATGCGTGCAAGCAAAGAAGGGGCATTTCGTTTCGCCGTAACGCAGCTTTTTGGCCGTATTGCCCTCTAATTCAAAAGCCTCTGCGAAAAACGTGGTGTTGCAATGATTTGTGCTGACGGGTGCCTTGGGACGCAGGCAGCATGTAGTCTGTGCCGTGGGGGTGATGCGCGCCGTTCGCAGGAAATGTCTGCCCTGCCTGTGCCTGGTGTTTGTGTGTGCCGGTTGTCCAGCTGAAGTGCATTTTCTGTGGGCTTTTCCCCTCTTCCATCCTCGTATACCCGTAGCGGTGTTGTGTGAACTGCATGAAGAAAATTGACCACCTCAGGTCCCTCATCGCTGACCTCGAGACCTATGAGCGGGAGCTGCAGGAGCGCGTACGCCAGAAAGAAGCGGAGTTGGAGTTGCTGCTGAAGCAGCTGGCACCAGTCAAGAACTCTTCCTCCTGCCTCCCTACTACAACAAAGCCAGATGTGGTGCCCGCCTCTTCTGTGCTGCAGCTACGAATCGCACGCGCACCTGGAGTGACGGCGTCTGGCAGGACGGTGGAAGCTTCGCCGTCTCCATGCCTCACAGGAGAGCAACGGCGCCTCCAGCCCCCTGTTTTCGGCGCCCGTGAGCGACAGCAGAAGCAACAAAAGTTGGATCGCTCGTCCTCCGCCGATATCGATGGCGTCTCCCCTATTTCCAGCAGCAGTGCCGCCTCGACTGACTCCGGTGGCCTCGCAGAGACAAGACGACTGCTGCTGGAGTCAGACGAGAGGACAATTCGTCGACCGCCTCGCCGAGTTCGATTCGCAAGTCGGAGTCCGTGCGTTGTTTCCATGGCGGTCGAAAAACCTGCATCTAAGAAAGAGAATGAAATGAAGAGAAGCAGAAAGCCTCGGCCCACGCCACTGCCAGAGTCCCCGCTGACCGTAACACACTCACAACGCTCTAGCAGCGCGAGAGGAAACACTTACAAGGATGACAAGGCGTGCATCATGGAAACCTCACCGGAAACATGCGCAGGTATGGAGAATCAAAATAATTTGGGCTCCACGGGTATTACAGGGGTTGTTGACGACGAGCCGTGTTATCTGCGCCGGCGGCCGAAGCATGAGCGGTGCGTGCACAGAGAGAGTATGAAACTCCCCAATGTCGGTGATACTTCAACGGCAGTGGCTCTCCCAAATGCTTCTTCCGCATGTGATTCGGCTTCCTTTGGGCCACTGCATCGGAACGAAGGTGGCGTTTGCCTGCAGAGCGAGCTGCAACAAGGGCAGCAGCAGCAGCAGCAACACCAGTATCAACTGCAGCTGTCCAGTTACATTCCAACAAAGCGCCCCCGCGCCTCCGTTTCGCGCAGCATCAGCGCTGCCCGGTCACGTGATCCTGCCGTCGCGCAGCAGGAGGGCAGAGGGGCCGGCATCGTTGTTGCCTGTGGTCCCACTCTCTTCTTTGACTAATCCTGTGGCCGTTCTTCCCTCTCTTTTTTCACAAAATTTTTTTGTCTTGTTGCGTATGCTCCCCTCCTCATGTTTGACGTGGGCCTGTCTGCCTTGAATGGATTGATATATATATATATTTTTTTTTGATGGTTTCATTGATGCATGCATGCATGCGTGTGTCTGTCTGACAGAAAGAAGGTGGGGACTGAGGGACGCAGGTGCCCTTTTGAGATGTTTGGCAGTGCACTGTGCATTGGGGTTCTTCTGTACTGCTCTCTGTCTCTCCGTGCCCGAAGTCTCCCTGTGTAGTGGAAAGCAGTAGTTGAAAAAAAAGAGAACAGAAAAGAGATAGAAAGAAGATACAACGAACGAAGAAGAAGAGAGAGGTCAACCGAGGATGGCGGAGATCAGCAGCAGCAGCAGCAGCCCCAGGGACGTGGGCACCACCGTGCGCAAGGTGGCGGAGGACTTCCTAAAGCTCAAGACGGCGTATGAGCGGAAGGACAACGACGCGTGCCTTGATGTACTGGAGGACATCAAAAAGAAACTGATTCTGCTGCCGACCTTTCTCAATCCGGCGGCTCAGAGCCCGACGCGGCTGCAGGAGTTGACACTCACCCGCGAGGTGCTTGAGCACGCCGTTCTTGTGAGTGCACACCTCAAGGACCTCGACAACTTCGAGCTTTACTTCAACCAACTGAATGTGTACTACACGGACATTGACAGCAGCGAGCTGCCGGAGTCGCCTCTGTACATGCTGGTGCTCGGGCTCAACCTGGTGCGTCTGTTAGTGCGCAGCCGTATTGCGCAGTTCCACTCGCAGCTGGAGAAGATACCGAACGACATCCACGGCAAAAACCCGTGCATCCGTTTCGCGGTTCTTCTTGAGCGGTACCTGATGGAGGGCAGCTACAACAAGTTGCTCAACTCGCGCCACCAGGCACCGTCAAACGAGTACATTCCTGTTGTGGAGATGTTAGAAACCACAGTACGGCAGGAGGTGGCCGAGTGCATACCCCGTGCGTACGCCCGTATCGCCATTGGCAAGGCGCAAAAGATACTGATGGTTGAATCAGTCGAGGAGGTGAAGCAGCTTGGAAGGCAATACAAGTGGCAGCTGAGTTCTGACGGTAGTTGCTTTCTCTTCACACGCGAGGAAGATGTAGCAAGGAAGGAGGTCCCATTCCAGGATATGCTTAAGAACCACCTGCAATTCGCGGCAGAGCTGCAGCGCATCGTGTAGCTGTGTCCGCACGTCTGGTCCCTTTTTTTTTTGTCTTTGATGTTTCGTTCGTGTGGCTAAACTACAGCATATATATATATATATATGTGTGCGTGTGTGTGTGTGTGTGTGCGAGGCACCGATGTCGCTCGTTTACTTGAATATGCCGGGAACAAGAAAAAAAAATTGTGTTTTTTTTCTGTTTGGTCGTCTCTTGCCCGCTTCCCCACGCCCGTGGGCGAGGGCGTGAGGCTGTGCTGTGTACGTGGTTCCTCCACTCCCCTCGATGTCTTGATGCCTCTTTATCTCTCTCTCTCTCCTTTTTATCTCTCTCTCTCTCTCTCCGTCTCTTTCTTGCGCTTTGTCTCTCTGTCCGTGTCTGTTGCTCCTGCTGCAGGAATGCCGCCGGTGACGAAGGTGGCGGCGCAGGTGATCATTAGGCGCCCGGACGGCACCGAGACGCGTTTGGTGCGCCGCAAGCCGGGGCCGGTGCAGACACGCACCGACAGCGACGCGGTGAAGCGCGATGAGGACCGCGAGGCCGTGCTGGCGTGCCCACCGTACACTGCAAGCTTTAACACGTTGCTGAAGGAGCGCCGCGAGAAGAACAGCCGCGTGCTTGTGAACGCCGTGCTGGAGCGCATGCACGCAGAGGCCATTCCGCTGAATGTCGTCACGTACAACCTGCTGATGGAGCGTGTTGTGTGCTTCCCAGACGACGTTATCTTCACACTGTACGAGGAGATCAAGGAAGAGGCAGTTAAAGACAACAGCAGTGTTCGGCCTAACCTCACCACCTACCAGCTGCTGTTCCGCGCGTGTGAAAGGAAGGGAGAGTACAACCGCGCCTTCCTCCTCTACAAGCAACTGCGGGAACTCATGCACATCACGCCGGACTCCCCGACGTACGACACGCTATTGGGTTTCTGCGCAGCTGTACGGGACGTGGCACAGGCCACATACTTTGTGGAGGAGATGCGAAACAACGGCGTGACGCCAGACGTCAACACGTACAACTGTCTGATGAGTGTACTGGTGGATAGTGCCCCGTACGAGGAGACGCTGGGGGTGTTCCAGCAGATGATTGAGGAGGGCATCAAGCCCACTATTAGGACGTATAACACTGTCTGCAAGGCCGCCCGTGCCCATGGTGACTACGACCGCGCATTTCAGCTCTTTGAAGAGATGAAGAAGCGCGGTATGCTACCGGACGTGGTCACGTACAATACGTTGCTCTCTATGGCGGAGCATCGCTTAGACTACATCATGGGGCAGGGCAACCACGAGCACGTGCGGCGCTCCTTTGAGCAGCGCAGGCAAGGTAAGCGCGCTGTGGCAGGGCTCACATTGACACTTTTAGCCGAGATGGAGTCGATAAAGCTGAAACCGAACACTTTCACCTTCAATCAAGTCATGGCGGCCCTGCTGAAGTGCGGCGATCACCGCGTGTTTAATGTCTACCGCACGATGCAAACGCGCTACGCGGAGCAAAAGTCGGCGCTTGAGCTGCAAGCCAAGCGCAGAGCGAAGAAAAAGAGGACAATGCTCCTCCTAGAAAGCGACACCCCCAGTAACACAGAGGCCTGGTCGAGCAGCACAACAACCGCGGCGCCGGCATCAACGGCGTCAGCGGAGAACGCCGACGGCCTCGGCGCAGAGCAGCCCATGTCGCTCGACGAGGCGATGGATGTCGAAGACCCGCATCGGCCTGCCCGCATCGCCGCACAGCAGTCGCGGCCGAACCGCGACACGTATCGCCTGATTGTGCGTGCCTGCCTCGAACTTGGCCTTGCCGACAAGTGCGATCACTTCTACCGTGAGATGCGCCGCGAGGGGCTCGGGCTCGACCACGATTTCGCAGTGCTCATGGAGGAGGTGTGCGAGGCAACGGGCGACAGGGTGCGGGCGCGGTCAGTGCTCGATGAGGCGAAGGGCGACCGTTTGCTGATCGACACAACACTTTTCAATGCATACCTCAGTGTCCTTGCATCGCTGGGCGACGCGGAGGTTATGCATATTGTGGAGGAGATGCAACTTGGCATCAACGTTTTCAACGTGCGGCCGGACGTGGCGACATTCAACAGGGTGCTGCGCAGCCAACTCTGCATGGGTAACCACGAGAAGGTGGCGGATGTGTTCGCTTCCATGTACCTTTCGTACAGCCAGGTGACGCCCGACACGGAGACGTACTGCTGGGTGCTCCGTTCCTACTGCCAGACACACGATACGGAGGCCGCCACGCAGTTGCTGGAGTCAATGAAGCAGCGAAAGGTCCCTGTTTCGGTTGAGCACTACCACCACCTTATGCTGGTGTATTTGGAGGCTGATGATGCACGTATTATCGATGTCTTCCATTTGCTGCGGAATGCGACGGGGGATGAAGCACTGCCAAAGGCTGACACGCAATGCTTCTGCGCCTTGCTGCAGTACTACTTGCGCCAGCAGCAGTGGGATGAGCTGGAAGGGCTTTTTTTGGCGCTCAAGGCGGATCCCGTGCTGGAAGTCGATACTGGATGCTACAATGTCATACTAGAGATGTGCCTCAGGCAGAAGCGTGTGGAGTACGCGGAAAAACTTTTTAATGAGCTTCGCATGAAGTGCGTCCCGGCTGATATTACGATGTACAACACGCTTTTGCGTCTCTTTGCATCGGTAGGCAATAAAATGATGTACAGTGTTCTGGAGGAGATGAAGGCCAATCACGTGGCACCAGCGGCCACCACGCTTGGTATTCTGCTGGAGTACGCTGAGGGGCGACAGGCTGTCTCCACTGCTGTTGAGCACGGTCTCTTCTGGAATCCGGCTGATGATCTTGAAGGGCTGATCTGAAGATGGGGTGGTAGGACATGCCGCTATATTCGTATGTATAATAGAAGAGGGTAGGGGGTGGAGAGGGCTGCCTCCTCATCCAGCTTTCTTTCCACACACACCTCCCGGACCGTGTGCTCCTATTCATTTATTGTGGTTGTGATTTGTGGATGTGTGCTTGTGGTGTGATTGGCCAAGAAATGGCCGCTGCACTCCTCTCTTGTTTTGGTTGCCACGGCACATTTACGATGCTTCTTTTTCTCTCTTGCGTGTTTTTTTTTGTTGGATGTGGTGACTCCGCCTCTCTGTGTGTCTATGTGCGGGTGCTTACCTATGGCCTGGGAGCAGACGCTTTGATTTGTTGTCGTCGTTGTTTTCTTCCTCTGTTCCTCTCTCTTGTGCACTTTCCCGCCTCAGGGCAAGAATAGGCAGCAATGCGGGCAGCACCCTTTTCTCGGCGGCGTGTGCTTGTGAGCAAGGCGGTTCAGACGGAAGCGTCGTTCCCCCCCGACTGCACCAACGTCGAGGAGCACTACAAGGGGCTCGCCAGTGAGCAGTTTGACGACCTCTGCAAGCTGCGCGACGTGATACGCGATGCGATGAAGGAGGTTGCCTGCTCGGTGTACGACGTGGTGGCGTTCAAGGACATCCTTTTCAAGATCGAGGACGAGCTCCCGTCGAGCCTGCCGGTGACGGACATGCTGCTGTTGTCCTCGAAACTTTTTCGTCGCGCCGCGGAGCTGGGACGCCTCCTTGGCTGCTTCTTCACGGTTGTCTTCGCCGAGGAGCACGTGGACGAGGATTTCCACTTCACGGAGCTGCGCGTGCTGCGACGCGAGCTGCTCGACCTGAAGAAGCAGTTTGCCAAAGCAGACGAGGAGCGCGCCCGTCTGCAGCGCATGCTGGACGATGTCGGCAGAGTCGCAGTCAACCATAGCCGCGCGGTGGATCTCCTAGAGACGCGGAATGCGGCGCTGCAGCTGCAGACAAGCGGTCTGGAGGACCAGATGGCGCTGCTCTTCTCGCAGCTCAACAAGGATCTGCACCGCCAGTGCAAGGAGGGGTACGAGAAGGTCACCAATGAGATAGACAGCCAAGACCGTATGAACCTTACCAAGGCGACGTTTCGCCAAACGATGGATTCCCTCAGCGATCAGCTTCGCCACTCACGTACGCTAATTAACGACGTGAGAGAACTTGTTTTGAGCTGCGCGCAGGGTGGCACGGGTGGTGGGCGGAACGTGGATGCGCAGATATCGAAGGAGCCGAGTATTCGCTTTAAACTGAAACAAGTGGAAAACAATTTCCAGCAGCTCGTGGGCCGTTTTTCCGCCGTCAAGGGCATCGTCGCGGAGACAGCACAGGAGCTGATGAATGCCTTGCACGAGCGGAAGAATATTCTCTATCTCTCACTCCAGCACATCCGTTTATACGATATTCAAAACACAAAAATGCGTCAGTCTAAGGCCATCGTCGTCGAAATGAAACGGGGGGTGGAGGAGCTGTTGAAGCGAATTGGGGTGACGTTTCCATCCGGCGCGGTCACCTTCGTTGACCGCATTGGTCGCATCTCCACACAGCAGTGGCAGGTGGGGCAGACGCTAGCGACGATCCGAAACCAAAAGGCAAGTGAGCTTTCAGGCGATGAGACCACCGTTGTTTCTGCCTCGCAAGTGCCATCGCCACTCCCACCAGCGCCAATGGCACCAGCGCCCCCTTCGCAGAAACGGGTGAGCGAATCCGATATTGGTGGCGAGGAGCGTCAAGGGGCGTCAGTGCCGGATGTCTCTGCTCGTATGGGGACTGGCAGCTACAACGTTCCCTTTCAGACCGTGTACAACATTGTTGACCTAGTGAAGTTGATGGAGCGATCTATGGAAAATCTGGTCAACACGTTGAACTTTGAAAATGAAATCAACGCCTTTCTCAAGACTCTCACGTTGTCACTCTCCACCACACCGCGTGAGGTGGATGAAACCTTTGGTGACTTTTCGGATGCGGATGCGGTAGTGGACAAGGCGCTTCTTCCCACGGGCGATGCCTCCTACAAGCGTTCCAACGCCGTCGATACCCCCACACGCAAAGCCGTACGAAACTTGGACCGGACAGCAAGTCACTCGATTCTCTCGTTCAGTGGTCAAGGGGAAAGGCGGCAGTCGATTGAGAGCGAAAAGGCGGCGTCTGTTGTGGCGGAGCAGGAACGTCGGCTGCAGGAACTGCAGGAACAGCTCGACAACGTGCGGCCAGAGTTTGCGGTTAAGATTGGCTTCCTGCGCCAGGTGTATGAGGCCAGGATATGCGATTTGGAGATGAAGGAGGCAAACATCCAGCGCAGGGTTGGCGCAACGACGCCGCAGAAAGAGGCCAAGGAAACAAAGGAGCCACCGAAGAAGCGTCAGGGTCGTGGTGAGCGCGAAATGCCTGCATCGCGCGCCTCCGACAATTCCGACGCAGAGAGGCGGCGAAAGAAGGATGACAGAGATCATCTCCTGCTGTCGAGGTCTGAGTGGCACCAGACAAAGCCGGCACTGCAGGGAAATAAGAAGGTGCGTGAGGCTATGATGAATGAACTGACCAAAATGATGCGTGATCCCGATCCCTCTGAAAAACAAGAAAGACGACAGAGCATGCGCTCCAAAGGTACAGGTAGAAGTGTGACAACCTCAATAAGCAGGTAACCTACATGCACAGGTCTATCTATCTCTCTCTCTCTATATATATAGATAGACAGTCAGTTAGAGAGGTAACAGACATTCTCTGAAGGAGAGTGCCTGTGCGTGTCTGTGTGTGTAGAATTCCCGTCGAGGCGCTTTTATAACTTGGTCATCTTGCTGTTTGCGTATGTAATTAATGTAAACGGTAGAAGTACACACATATATGCATCTCGTTACATCATGACAGCACTAATGGAACGACGGATGGTGTATATTTTGCAATGCTGGTCCATATCCATGCATCATGCGTCAGTATATATATATATATATNNNNAAATCAACTTATCCAGTAGTACGTCCTCCAACACTGCTCTACAACACTCTTGTATTTTCACCTTCTCCACCGAAATCCTCTTCTCCTTCCCCACTACTACTATCCTCTACATGTTGACACTCTCACTTGCATGTATTAAGCGGTGCGTTGCCACTCTTCAGGAAAAGAAGATCCAACAAGTAAGGCGGGGTGAAGGAAATGTCTCATACAGCGGAGGACACAAAGGCATTCGCACTCATCTTGGCACGCGACGCGGAATGCAAGAAATGCTTTGAGTGTGGTTCGCCAAACCCACAGTGGTGTGATGTGCAACACGGTGTTTTTATTTGTCTTGATTGTAGCGGCGTTCACCGAAGTCTCGGCGTCCATCTCTCGTTTGTGCGAAGCTCCACCATGGATGGGTGGATGAACTGGCGTCCGGAGAAGTTAAAGCAGATGCAGCTCGGTGGTAACCGCCGTGCCCGAGAGTACTTTGAGCGCAACGGCGTTCCTAGCACACCCATACGTGCCCGCTACGAGTCATTGAGTGCCCTCCGCTATGCCGCCATGTTGGAGGCCGAGGCGCTTGGCAAGCCGTTCAACGAACAGACCTGGACACCGCCAGAGTGGTATGACCGGCTTAAGCAGAGTGGCCCGACGGACGGCGGCGCCGTCCTGCAGCAGGCCCCACAGCAGCACCGCCCCATCACTGGCATGGGCTCTGATGGAAGGCAATGGAATAACAGTGGCACCGGTGGCGGCGAGGTCGGGGACTGGTACAACTCACTTGCCAGTGGGTGGGCATCACTGTCAAAGAAGACAACGGAGCTCGCGGGTACGGCAACCTCACAGGCGCGCACGCTTGTCCAGGATGCGAACGTGGAAGACGTCAAGTCAAAGTTGNAACGGAGCTCGCGGGTACGGCAACCTCACAGGCGCGCACGCTTGTCCAGGATGCGAACGTGGAAGACGTCAAGTCAAAGTTGGCCTCTGGCTGGTTCACAGTCTCGGGCTATGCGAATCAGCTGTCATCGAAGATTGCAACTATAGGTGGGATTGGGGACAATGATGGACTGACAGGGCTGACGCACAACGCCAGGATGGCGGCACAGGGAAGTAGGCCATCACCCACTGGGACGCGTGGATCATACGATCATATAGAACACCACGCAGAATCTGCATCACCGAAGGTTTTCAGTCCATTGCCTAGCTCCGGTCAACAACAACAACAACAGAGCTTCTGGCCGCAGTCCCAGCCTAAAAAGGACGGTGCGTCGGCAAGCCCATTGGCTGCTAATAAGGGCCCATGGAAGCGAAAAGAAAGTGGCGAATGGGCCTGGGATGACTAGCAATCATTGTTCTAATCTACTAGTGGTATCTGTGTAAAAATGTGGTCATGTACCGAGATAAGCCCCCCCCCCAAAAAAAAA